TCGACGGAGTAAAAACCGCCTTCTATAGATGTCTTCACAGGTACTGCTTAACATTCTCGGACGACACAGACAAGCGTATGCGTATGGACGCTGGCTCTCCGAAGGGGCAGCGCCGTTACTACATTAGGCGAAAAAGCGGGATATACTGATTCAATGTGCGCGTTAGATAGGTAGCATTGAGTCTGTATTTTTTTAGCTGGTGCCACGCCGGTCACTGCGCCCGACCAGACGGCCGAACGGTTCAGACAGGTCACTGCTGCTTGTAATTTCTAAAAAAATTCTTCCTTTTGGCCAATCGGCGCACTCCTCAGTAATAATAGGTCTGATGCTTCTAACTCAATCCCGACGAGTTAAAATTCGCAGTTTGGAACGCCGCCAGTTGATGGGCTAACTCTGTCCTAGTCTGAAGTAGGGGGCCCAGACTACAAGGGCTGCTTCCCAAGGCAGCCTTTAGGGCAACTTTCTTTGATGAGAAGAGCGAGCCAGCACGTAATGCGGTATGCGTAGGCGTGATTTTTTAGGCTATTCAACCTACAGTTCGACTATGTCCACTGGGTGTTCCACAGCAGGACGAGAGCAGGGACGGTGACTTAGTGAAAGTAGACTTGCGCAGCATCTACCGCACCCCCTCCCCTCCTGTCACATCTGGAACCGGTGTCATGGCCAAGTCGAGAAGACCGGGGACAAGAGAGGCCGCAGATGGCTGGGACGGCGTAAACGCGCACCCAGGCGTACCACCGCACCCCCTGGTTCGCAAAAAACACTTGATGAGGACATGGGCGGCAGAGATCCAAATTGGCGCGGCGTGAGCCTGCAGCTTGGCCTGCCACCGCACCCCGAATGTTGGCACTCGCTATGGGTGCGCATTCCGGTCAGAATCCGAGGTAGCCCCCGTGCTAGTGTTAGTCAAACGCATCTACCGCATATGCCCGTCCTGAGGGGCAACGTTTAGTCAAGCACTGCAGCCATGGCAACATCTACAAACGGGGAATTTCGCCAGTCAGCACTACGCACTCTCCGGACAGTTCATATTGACCCAACTGTCAAAAACTCGGCGCCTCGGTGGAATTCGAACCCACGCAGTAAGGGGAAGGCTTTAGCGCAGCCAACGCTCTAACCACCTGAGCTACGAGGCCCCGCCGGACGACGCGAGTTTAATCACATTTGGGTCAAGTTACCCGCCCAACCTACTGCAACGTCTGGAATCCACCAAATCTGATACAGCAGGATTTCCTAAGTAATTCACCTAGAATCCACCAGATGACTACCAGGCTCGCGTAATTCATTGATATTTTGGCAGATTTTGAATAATTCATATTGACCCAACTGTGAAAAACTCGGCGCCTCGGTGGGATTCTAGGTGAATTACTTAGGAAATCCTGCTTGGGCACTCAACTTACTGTATCAGATTTGGTGGATTCCAGACGTTGCAGTAGGTTGGGCGGGTAACTTGACCCAAATGTGATTAAACTCGCGTCGTCCGGCGGGGCCTCGTAGCTCAGGTGGTTAGAGCGTTGGCTGCGCTAAAGCCTTCCCCTTACTGCGTGGGTTCTAATCCCACCGAGGCGCCGAGTTTTTCACAGTTGGGTCAATATGAATTATTCAAAATCTGCCAAAATATCAATGAAGCTCCGGACAGTGGTTGTCTTCATCACTTGCGACGGATGAGGCGATCTTCTTGGGCACGCTGCACGCGTCAGCAAGGGGAACAATGCACAGGGACGATCC